TTAAAACAACATTTTAAAGCTTTTAAAAAAATAAAAAGTATGATAGCTAAACACTATTAACATCTTTCTATAATAATAAGCTTGATAGCTAAAAATGGATAGAGCATAGAGGTGGTAAATGGGAACCACTGCCAAAAACTCAATAGTCTCGTTTTAAAAATTACTTTTTCTATCTCATAATAATGTATATATTGAGAATTTAATTTAAATTAATTATTATTTTTTTCATATTTTAAAAAAATATTTTCCCTACTTTAATTTTATCATTATCCTTTAACTCTAATTATTCAATCTACTATAAAAAAAATCTTCTTATCTTTTATCTTGATCTTTCTATGAGTAATATAAATTGTTTCTAAATTTTTAATTTAATCATAAATTTTTTTTTAAAAAAAATTTCTCATTGTGAAAGAGAAAGTTAAAATTCTATACTCAAATCAAATTACACATGGGCTGTTGGATTAAGATACTATCAGTTTAGTGAGACACAAATTAAGAGAAAAGAATAGAAACGTAAACAAATAGAGAATGGTTACTTGTGTTGAATAATAGAATAACTTGACCATAAACATAAGAATTTGTTTTGGGGGATAGGCATAGAGATCGATTTAATTATGAACTCTGATATATGTCACAATACAAAGGAAGAATCGTCTTCATTTCTGCAGCCGCCCACTCAACTAGGAATCTTGCTATATACCATCGTTATTTTATTAAGATGATCATTTCATTTAAGCCAAGTAACTTGCTGATGTCCTTGTTTTCCAACATTTTTTTAAAAATCTGAATTGAGTCATGAAATTCTTCTGCTTCTGCATTACCAATACTTATCCGCTTAGTTTATTATACAAAGAGCACAGGAATTTTGACCTTACCTTCGATCTACAGGTTTATGTGTTTTCTCTCTTTTCATTTGATGGGGAATTACAATACAATCGTCTTTCTCCTTTTGAATTCTCTTTTCCATGTATTATCCTAAGATTTTAAGCCGACACTTGTAATTTAAAAACTCCCGGTACATGCTTAAATCATCAAAATTTCCCTCAAGAAACATTTTGAGGTTTCTTTCTAAGAGAAATTTGATTAAACTTTGAAGCCAATGTAATATCTAACTAATATATATGTATCCACATCATTTGTAATGTGGAGGTTATGCTATACAAATTAATTGATTATAATATGTCTGGTCAGATATCCAGCAAGGATTCAGCTATGATTATTTAGTATATACAATCAACTGTATTTTTCCTCAACCTTGTACGGTATTGCAATCCTAAATCCCCAGTATTTTAATAATTTACAACAACCTACTACCTCTATCTTAAAATATAACTTTTTTTTTATATTTTTCATGTTAAGAATTTATAAATAATTTATTTTTTACTTATATTATTTTTTAAAAGAAATTAAAGATAAAATGCAAGTGCTAGTGATAAAGTTGGATAGTTTTTGTATGAAAAATAAAATAAAATTATTTATAGAAGAAAATTTTGCCTATACTAAATTTCGCCTACACTAAATTTGGACAACTAAATAAAGAGCGTAAATTATTATCAATTACAAAAGCAATTGCTATAAAAATAAAACTAGAGCTACTTATATAAAAAAGTTATTCTATCCAACGATCAAATTTATAGGAAACTTCCCTAAAATTTTTAGCTTCTAAAAGTGTAAATAATCCAAGAGGTGACAATTCCCCCCCACCAATTATTGGTCCTTCCATAATTAAAGAACCCTACCTGCAAGAGGATCATGACTCCCCTCAAGATTATAAAAAGCATTAGGTGGTGTCCTGCCGCCACAACCTAGAGATCTTAAGCGGTTTTTTTATTAAGAAAAATACCTAAAAGAATCAAAAAAAAAAAATTAATCAAATCAATTTAGAAAGTAAATGAAATTTAAACATTTTATTAAAATTGTCAATTTTTTATTATAAAAATAAAAGACACAAAAAAGAGGAGAGAAGAATAGGAAAATTGATTAAAGAAAAAAATATATGGTGGGCAAGTTCTCTGCCCATT